AAAATATCGTAGAAGTAGATCTAATAATAAATAATAATTATTATCGCAATTATTATTATTATTATTTTTCTTTTTTTTGATTCCAGGTGCATTATCGTTATCATCGTCCAGCTTACGACAAGGTAAGGAAATACGAGGTATTACTTAGAAGCTTTAACTCTTGTTTAAATAAAGAGTTTGGTAACTACGAGTCGAAGAATAATCTGCATATTTTGAAGTAGTTCAGAGAGGGGGGAAGAAACTTTAATGGGAATATCGATGGTTTGAGAGAACAACGGCATAACTGCAAAAGTGAAATGCTAAAAGAGAGAATGGTTTAAACGGAAAAATCTTTAACAATGTTGGGAACGAATATATAATTTTTTAAAGTGATTCTCGAAAAGCTATTAAATAATATTATTAATACGATATTATATCATATTATAATAATTTCAATATTTTGTATCATTAGGATTAAAATTTAATAATATTAAAATGATATTAATTATCGAAATTATTAAATAGAAGTAAGGAATATCCTCTTAAGGATTATTCCCATAATTTATATACAATTTATGTATAATCCTCTTATGTGTTGGAGAGATTAAGCCATTTTTTCGAAATCAATAACGCGTTTAAAATTTTCGAAAAATTTATATCATTGTTCTGCCACGATATTTCCACAAATATTAAATATTATCAAATAAAATCCCAAAAACTCTCTCTTAACATATTCATCGTAGAAGAAAAATTTATCGTTTAATATCGAAAATTTATTCATCACTGTGAATAATTTTTACCTCTTATTTCTTCCCACTATGAATCCTCTTTAAAATATAACGTATAACGTTATATAACATTTTATTATATCACTGGTTTCAAATCCAGTGTCAATTGCAACTCTCAAAGAAATGTAATCGACGATTTTTCCTATTTATTCATCACATAACGATATTTCAATATTTTTACTCTCTCTGTGATTAAAAAATTATTCAAACTTTTGAATTTTCACTACTTTTTATTTATCTTTAATACAATTACTTCTTCCATATTTTTCCCTATTTAATCGTAAAAATTATTCAAATTTTTAACATTTATTTATTTGTCAACCACGTCCTCATATTCTACTGTCTTTCTCTCTCCCTCCATTTATAAAATTTAAAAATTATTTAAATTCCTTATTTTCGTGCTTTTATTCCACAAATAATCTAGATATAAAAGAAATTTTACACATTTTACACGACAAGATTTTTCTACCATATTTTAGGTACATACAGTTAGATATATTCAAATGTTTCAACCAGATGTGAGTACAGATATTAATAATTTTGAATATATACACACATATATACATACACATGTATCTATACATATGAAGTATTAGACGCGTGACGCTTGTGGTGATATCTCTTTATCCGATTATCGATCCGTGGACACGATCAGTCACAGTTGACATTATTTTCGCGTTGCTCGCCCGATTTACATCGTGTAGCAGATTTGCATTTGCAGCCGGGACAGTCATCGTGCCAATCCACGTCTCGTCACTGGACGTTGGATTG